GCTCAGGAAGGGCTCTTGGATCCCCACACACTTGCATTATTCCAGTGGCTATTCCCGTTTTTCCAGTGGCTATTCCCATTATTCCAGTGGCTATTCCCAGTATTCTAATGGCTATTCCCATTATTGCAAAGGCTGTCCCCAATATTTCCCTTTATTCTCGTGGTTATTCCCATTTTTCCAGTGGCTGTTCCCAGTTTTTCCCATTATTCCAGTGGCTATTTCCTGTGTTTCCTATCTTTCTAGTGGCTATTCCCAGTATTTCCCATTATTCCAATGGCCATTCCCTGTATTTCCCTTTATTTCCATGGTTATTGCTATTATTCCCATGGCCATTCCCAGTATTTCCCATTATTCCAATGGTCATTCCCATTGTTCCATTGGCTGTTTCCACTATTCCCATTATCCCAATGGCCATTCCCATTATTCCACTGGTCATTCCCGTTGTTCCATTGGCTGTTTCCGTTATTCCCATTATCTCAGTGGCCATTCCCAGTATTTCCCATTATTCCTGTGGTCATTCCCATGATTCCAGTGGTCATTCCCGTTGTTCCATTGGCTGTTTCCACTATTCCCATTATTCCAGTGGCTATTCCCAGTATTTCCCATTACTCCTCTGGCCATTCCCATTATTCCAATGGTCATTCCCATTATTCCAATGGTCATTCCCATTGTTCCATTGGCTGTTTCCACTATTCCCATTATTCCAGTGGCCATTCCCAGTATTTCCCATTATTCCAGTGGCCATTCCCAGTATTTCCCATTATTCCAGTGGCCATTCCCTGTATTTCCCTTTATTTCCGTGGTTATTGCCATTATTCCCATGGCCATTCCCAGTATTTCCCATTATTCCTGTGGTCATTCCCATGATTCCAGTGGTCATTCCCATTATTCCATTGGCTGTTTCCACTATTCCCATTATTCCAGTGGCTATTCCAAGTATTCCCATTATTCCAATGGTCGTTCCCATTATTCCAGTGGTCATTCCCATTGTTCCATTGGCTGTTTCCACTATTCCCATTATTCCAGTGGCCATTCCCAGTATTTCCCATTATTCCAGTGGCTATTTCCTGTGTTTCCTATCTTTCTAGTGGCTATTCCCAGTATTTCCCATTATTCCCATGGTCATTCCCATTGTTCCATTGGCTGTTTCTACTATTCCCATTATTCCAATGGCCATTCCCTGTATTTCCCTTTATTTCCATGGTTGTTGCCATTATTTCCATGGCCATTCCCAGTATTTCCCATTATTCCTGTGGTCATTCCCATTATTCCAATGGTCATTCCCATTATTCCATTGGCTGTTTCCGTTATTCCCATTATTCCAGTGGTTATTCAGTATTTCCCATTATTCCGATGGCCATTCCCATTATTCCAATGGTCATTCCCATTATTCCATTGGCTGTTTCCACTATTCCCATTATTCCAGTGGCCATTCCCAGTATTTCCCATTATTCCAGTGGTCATTCCCATTATTCCATTGGCTGTTTCCGTTATTCCCATTATCTCAGTAGCCGTTCCCAGCATTTCCCGTTATTCCAATGGTCATTCCCATTATTCCAGTGGCCATTCCCATTGTTCCATTGGCTGTTTCCGTTATTCCCATTATCCCAGTGGCCATTCCCAGTATTTCCCGTTGTTTTTCCAGAGTCCCTGGCGTTCCTGACGGCCGCCACGCACGGGCTGGACGAGGAGGCCGAGAGCCTGCGGGAATCCTTCGATCCCGAGAAGGAGACGGTGGGAACGACGGGAAAACTCCGGGAAAAACTCCGGGAAAAACTCCGGGAATCCGGGAGGGAGGGGACGGGGATGGGCATGGCAGAAATCCCAGGAAACTCTGGGAATTTGGGAAAGGAGCAGTGGGATGCAGAGGGGATGGGGCTCCTGGAAAACTCCTGGAATTTGGGAAAGGAGCAGTGGGGTCTGGTGAGGAAAACACCTGGAATTTGGGAAGGAGGAAGTGGTGGGGATGGAGGAAATCCTGGAAAACTCCAGGAATTTGGGAAGGAGGGGATGGGTGGGCTCCTGGGAAACTCCAGGAATTTGGGAAGGAGGGACAGGAGGCTCCTGGGAAACTCCTGGAATTTGGGAAGGGAACAGTGGATTCCAATGGGGAGAACTCCAGGAATTTGGGAAGGAGTGGATGGGGGGGCTCCTGGAAAACTCTGGGAATTTGGGAAGGGAACAGTGAGATCCAGAGGGGATGGGGCTCCTGGAAAACTCCTGGAATTCAGGAAGGGGGGGGATGGAGGAAATGGAAATCCTGGAAAACTGGAATTTGGGAACAGTGGGTTCCAGTGGGGAGAACTGGAAAACTCCAGGAATTCAGGAAGGAGGGGATGGGGAGGGCTACTGGAAAACTCCAGGAATTTGGGAAGGGAACAGTGAGATCCAGAGGGGATGGACTCCTGGAAAACTCCAGGAATTCGGGAAGGAGTGGATGGGGAGGGCTCCTGGAAAACTCCAGGAATTTGGGAAGGGAACAGTGGATTCCAATGGGGAGAACTCCAGGAATTTGGGAAGGAGTGGATGGAGGGCTCCTGGGAAACTCCAGGAATTTGGGAAGGGAATAATGGGATCCAGTGGGGAGAACTCCTGGAAAACTCCAGGAATTCGGGAAGGGAACAGTGAGATCCAGAGGGGATGGAGCTCCTGGAAAACTCCTGGAATTCAGGAAGGGGGGGATGGAGGAAATCCTGGAAAACTGGAATTTGGNGTGGAAAGCTAGCAAAGGCTGGAGAAAGGATCTGCTGGGGATTTTTAGGATCTGCTGGAGTTTTTTGGGATCCACTGGGGTTTTTTGGGATCTGCTGGGATTTTTGGGATCTGCTGGGATTTTTGGGATCTGCTGGAGTTATTTGGGATCTGCTGGGGTTATTTGGGATCTGCTGGAGTTTTTTGGGATCTGCTGGTTTTTTTGGGATCTGCTGGGTTGTTTTTTTTGGGATCTGCTGGAGTTTTTTTTGGGATCTGCTGGGGTTTTTTGGGATCTGCTGGGGGTTTTTTAGGATCTGCTGGGGTTTTTTTGGGATCTGCTGGGGTTATTTGGGATCTGCTGGGGTTTTTTGGGATCTGCTGGGTTTTTTTGGGATCTGCTGGGGTTTTTTGGGATCTGCTGGGGTTTTTTGGGATCTGCTGGAGTTTTTTGGGATCTGCTGAGGTTTTTTGGGATCTGCTGGGGTTTTTTAGGATCTGCTGGGGGTTTTTTGGGATCTGCTGGGGATTTTTGGGATCTGCTGGGGATTTTTGGGATCTGCTGGGGGTTTTTTTGGGATCTGCTGGGTTGTTTTTTTTGGGATCTGCTGGGGTTTTTTGGGATCTGCTGGGGGTTTTTTGGGATCTGATGGGGTTATTTGGGATCTGCTGGGGGTTTTTTGGGATCTGCTGGGGTTTTTGGGATCTGCTGGGATTTTTTGGGATCTGCTGGGGTTTTTGGGATCTGCTGGGATTTTTTGGGATCTGCTGGGTTGTTTTTTTTGGGATCTGCTGGGGTTATTTGGGATCCGCTTTGGTTTTTGGGATCCCGGGCGTGGATTTTGGGCCGTTCCTGATCCCGGCTCCGGGGTTTTTCCAGGACTTTGGCCTCGGTGAAGATCTCCAAGGTGAAGTACGTGATCTGGTCGGCCGACATGTCCCACGTGGCGCTGCTGGCCAAGCACG